CTAGATCTAAATCTTTTAAACTAATATGTAAATATTTAAAAAGTAACTAAGTCTTTTATAATATTTTAATAAAAGAGCACCACCTGCGCCCCTAGTTGTGATTACAACAGGGATACTCAAAAAAAAAAAAATAATAAATATTTTTCTAAATATATACTCTATATATATATACTTTATATAAATTTTTTTTAAATACATACTATATTTTAAATTTATTTTACAAGAATTTAATATATTTTGTATTCTATAAAAAAAAATATATTTATAGAGATTTGGCTATATATAGAATCTATTAATTATTTATTTGATTTTATCTAAAATTAAAAAAATATATATTAGTTCAAATTTTTTTTTAGCAATTAAATCTAATAATTAACTGTTATACTTACAACCAAAAAATCTGTTTGTTTGATAAAATACAAACCAAAAAATCGTTACTATTAACTTTATATTTTCTCAGAACTATAATTATACAATAACTTCAAATTTGATTTATATTTGTTTAAAATCATGATTATGCTATATTAAACAAAATTACTATGCTTATATTGATCTAGATAAATTAATTTGTACCAGTATAGCAAAATAATAATAATAATAAGCTTAGATACAATAAAGTAAATGATTTCTGAAAAAATTGCTAAGAAAAAACAGAAGATTATAAAGAATGTTGTGATAGATTTGAACTTACTTTCACAAGTAAAGAAAAAATTTTGATTATGCTTGTAGTGCTAGAGAAAAAAAAAGATCAATGTCGATATAAAATGATTTTTGTATATGAATGTGATTATTACTATCATAACATGTAATATACATCAATTTTCTTTGGCTATTAATTATTTTATACAAAGTAGGATTTTTTACTAAGCAAATCAAACTTTATCTACTAAGTAAAATTATTGTAAATACTATTTTTTAGATACCTTAAAATTTTGATGCGATTTGGCTAACTTTTCTTTAATTGACTTTAGTGATAAAAAATGGTCTGCACAAGAAATTTTATATTTTACGTTTTGGTGCAGAAGATAAATTTCTGTATCAAGATGAATAACGTGAATATCGATTAAAGAAACATTAGCCAAATCGCATCAAAATTTGAAGTTATCTAAAAAATAGTATTTCTAATAAGTATAAGATATTGGTCATGCAACGATTAATATCATAAAATTTGTTTTGTTAAAGCAAATAATTGGTTGACATGTGCTGCGTAGCGGCACGTTTCAGCCAATCATTTATCATCGCATGATCTAATATCAATGTTATCATACAATTACATGATTTGCGAATCGTGGTTGGCTGAGTTTTAATTTGAGATTGTTGTGCTTACGTAATAATGTACAAAAAATAACAAGAAAAAAATTTATGATCATAAGAGTTTGCACGATAACTTTACTTAGTGAACTAGGGATGCTAAGTGGTCCAAGAGGACCAGGTCCAGACCGAGTCCAGACCAGACTTTATAGAGACTGTTCAAAACTAGTCCAAAACTAGTTTTATAATCACATGACTTAAACCGAATGTGATTTTTGACATGTCGAATAAAGTTTAATAAATCATACATCATGAATGATACTTTTTTTAATGGATATAGATCAAGGCTATAATATTTACTAATTTTGGTAAATAACAATAAATTATTAGATACTCCGATTGGTGAATTTTAAATTAAAATTTAGCAAGTGCCTTGCAATTTCTTTACTGAATAATCACATGACTTAAAACCAAATATCATTTTTGACATATTGAATAAAGTTTAATAAATCATATATCATGAATGATACTTTTTTTAGTAGTAGATCAAGGCTATAAAATTCATTAATTTATGCTTGGTGAATAATAATAAATTATTAGATACCCTGATTGGTGAATTTTAAATTAAAATAAGCAAGTGTCTTGCAACTTCTTTTTAATTTTTCGTTGAATAATCATTTAATAGGATCGTGGCGTAACTACACCAACCTATAAAGATATTAACCGAAACTCTCTTTAATCATAATTGTTCATCCTCCAATTTACAACAGTGACAAAAATTAGAGTGAAGGAATAAACAAAAACATTTCTTTATTATAAAAAAAATCAAATAAATAATACTATATATCATTATCATCACGAAAATTAATACACAAACAAATATTTTAATCTAAAAAAAAAATAAAAATAAAGCTATCCAAAATTTAGAAGTGGGCGAACATAAATAATAATAGCGTAATTATATTAAACTATACCATCACAAGCCTAAACTTTATTAATTTAGTAACAATTTTTCTTTTTCATATTAAGCTTAATCTGTAAAAAAACTTTTAGTACAATTACCTCAAATCTACTCAATATTTTTTCTTGTCCTTTTGTTTGCAAATTTCTTTTTGTTTGCAAATGTTTTTTTTGTCAACAATGTATTTTTTGTTGAGATTTTGATGCGTTTGTTCGCATATAAGTATAAAAGTATCTAATGAAAGCTTATCTTCACAAGTTTTTGTTAGTCATATCATGTCTACAAAAATCTTGAACCATCTATATTTACTAAAAATCTTGAACTGTCTATATCTACTAAAAATCTTGAATTTTTACAAAATCCTCTATCTATTTATGATGTGCTTTCCTTTCTGGATAGAGATTTTTTAGATGATAGTGGTAGTAATGAAACTAGTACAGAAAAGCCAGATGATCGCATTTTTGCTAAACGGCGTAAAAACAAGCATCCACTTTGGAGTTATTTTTTTTAATCCGCAGATAAACAAATTACCTGTAAATTGTATGATTCTAAGTATAGAAATAGAAGTAGTATTAGTACAATTAAACGGCATTTCGAAAGTAATCATAAATCAGTATATCAGAAATATCAAAATTTGTCACCACCCCAGATTGAACATTATGGTTCTTGTGACGAAAAAAAAGTAAAAAAATTAAACAGGCTTCTGGTCTAATAGATCGTATGTAATCAACAGGGATTTTGTGTTGTTGAAGATAAGGATTTTTGGGTATTTATCTTTGAACTCGATCCTTGTTACAAACTCCCTTCAAGACAAACGATTTCAGTCTATATTTGGTGTATATATGAACGTGAACGTGAAGAATTATGTATTTTTTTAAGAAATTTCAAATATAAAGTTTCAATAACAACCGATATATGGTCTGCACCTACCAACCAAGCATTTCTTTCTATTACTTTGCACTAGATTGATGACGAGTGGCAGTTACAACATATACTCCTTGACTCCATGAAAGACATACGGGTAGTTTTTTGGCTGATGCGATTTTCAAAATAATTGAAGACTTTGGGTTAGAAAGCAAACTATTATCACTAACCATTGACAATGCTAGCAATATGGATGCTTGCAGTTAGCACTTTACTAAAATATTGAAATTCTATTATAGAAATACGGCTTTTCATCAGTTGCGGTGTGTTGCTCATATGCTTAACCTTGCTGTTGTAAGTGATCTTACTGAAATCAATGAATCAATTAAAAAGACGTGTGAATTTGCAAGTCATATTCATTGTTCTCAGCCATGTATAGAAGAATTAAAAAAATCTTTGCAATGAAGGACAAACCATTTTTAGTATCTAACCTTGATTGTAAAACATAATGGAATTCGCTCTATTTGATGTTAAACAAATTGTGTAAAATTCAAGAAATGACTGATATATTAGTAGTTTCAATGCCACAACTTAAACGGTTATATATGAATGATCAAGATTGGGACAATATTAAAACCATGATGATGCTGCTAGAACCCATTTACGAAGCTACCAAATTGCTTTCCTCATCAAACCACCTGACCATTGGAGATGTGCGTACAGTTTTTTTTGTAATTATCAACTATTTAACCAATGCTAAGGATGAAACAAATACAATGAAATCATGTATTGCAGAAAAAATCCTTGAAAAGCTTGATAAATATTGGGATGAATTACAGTCTGCCTTTTCAGAAGCAGTATTGCTTGATCTGATGTCTAAATTGTCTACCTTTAGTTCTGGTTTTGAACGAGTCAATGTGCATCAAATAATTAATAGAACCTATCAAAACTATGCCCCAGTTGCTAAGAATACAAGTGAACAAATCCTAGAATCTAATTAATTAATCTCGGCTCGCAACTACTTTCGAACTCAGCTAAAACAGACCTACAATGAGATGTCATTTAGTCAGAATATCTTAGAAGAATATTTGAATATGCCTGATGAAGATGTTGACACCCTCGCGTTTTGGAAATCAAAAACTTTAAATTTACAATGGTTACCTCTAGTTAACATGGCTCATGATTACCTTATCGCACAGGCAACAAGTGTATCTAGTGAACAGGCCTTCTCAGTTGCCAAGCATACATTAAGCCTAGTGCGAAATCGCTTAGATGATGAAAAAGCACATGTGAGTCTCTGTTTAAAAACATGATGTGATTCAGGGTTAGTAACCAAAACTTTTGAGTTTTCTTAAAGATCGTAGATCTTGGATTATCAAGACATATAAATGAGATGTCTGTGACTTCAAACACAGTTGTTCGTGGAATGCCGGCATATATTGAATCTAAATATATTATCAATCATAAGTATAAACGTGATAAGAAACTTAATAAGTAATGCAACTGTTTTTTTTTTAAAAAAATGTGAGATCTTGCCTCAGATCTTTATTAAATATTTGTAAAACTATTACAAAGTGCAAATTTTATAATGAAAGTTATAGTCTATATTGTATACGCGTCTTTTTTTTATAATAAATTTTAAATAAAAAAAAAAGAGATTTGCAGTTTGAGTATTATAAATTGCCTATATAA